TTTGTTTGTTTTCTTCTTCTTTACCGTCGTCTTCTTCATCTCCTTTTTCCGAATTTTCTGAATCTGTTATGGAGTTGTCTTCATCCTCTTCTAGACTACATACTAAACGATGGCTACTATCATTGATTTGTTCATTTGTGGTCGCTAAATTTATCAAGTCTTTCCAGTCAGATGCAACTAATACTACATGATATGCCGGTACCGCTCTAGCCCTTCCCTTACATTGAACATAACTACGATATGTAGTGGGAGGATCCCATCTAACTACCAAATTACATTTAGGGACATCTATTCCCTCTTCTAGAACAGATGTACCAATTAAAACGTTACAATCATGCATCCGAAAGCGCTTTAGAACTTCTTCTTGTCGACGATGCTCCGCTTCAGCTTCTTTTGGCTCCGTTATTGGGTCGGCTACTCGGTCTGTGGTAAATTGACATTTAATAAACTTCAAATCGGGATCGTGTCTACTCATTTCGGCCAGCAGTTCAAATAGTACACGGGCTGAGTAGTTTGAATTACAAAATATTATAGAACACAACGTGTCCGCTGCATCGTGTTGATCACGATGATGGCGTCGAAATGGGCGTCTTTTGGGCCGATTATGATTATGACCAGAGGAATGGCGACGATTTGCAGCCGGTTGGGCGTTATTTAAAATTGTTGAATCATCAGTCTTATTATTATTGCTTGCAGTTTTACTTTCAACTTCTGTACAAGAATTTAATTTTTCATTTATAATTTTTGTGTGAAATTCAGGTTTAACAATTGAATCGAGATTTTCAACAATAGATCGAGACTCTAACTGTTGCTTCTCAACGGCCTGTTCAACCGAATGACACTTGGTTTCTAGAATGCGAGTAAGTTTTTGAAAATCCATTGTATCCAATTCTAAACTTATGCGTTTCATTGTATCATTTTTACTTGTATTTTCATCCGGCTTAAATAGTCGTAAAACTTCCAATAGTCTTAATACTTTTGGACTGGAATAATTCTCAACGCACTCTTTATGATTATTCTTAAATTTTCGAAAATTTTGCTCACATATTGCGTGCACTTCTAAAAGGGCTGTATTTACTAAACACAATAGGATATAATGGCGTTCGTGTGGAGTTTTTATTTTTTGCTTCTCTATGCGTTGATACATATTAAAAGCCACTCTGTCGGCGGACCATGGACCCATTTCTAATAAAACTTGTAGCATTATATCTAAAAACTCTAGTGGTTCTTTTTTAGGATCTGGAATGTCTTTAAGTTCTTCTAGAAATTCATCAGTGCTATAAATTTCAAAGGGATCGTAACGATGGTCCTTGAGAAATGCCTTACGAGTCAATAGAATGTCTTGGAGTAATAAGCACAATTCACTTTGTTTGTAAGGAGCACATTGGACAATGAATTCAAAAGGTTTGGCACAATATCTGAGAAATGATAAGAAAATTAAAAAAAATTATCAATTTTAAATTGCATATTTAAAAGGTTGGTATATTTAAGAAATTTCAATATAATCATATAAAGGTTCTATTGTTAATAGGACGGCGCAAATATTATGGGAATAATAAAACAAGAAAGCAAGTTCAATTTTTAGACGCTTAAAAAATAAGATTTTGCTTGCAGAATGTGTTGGATAAAACCTAGTGGTTCTTTATTGAACGATTTTTGAAACTTGATTCACACTTACCTTAATACTGTAACTATATCACTTGCAGTTTCTGTTTTACATTGCACTGTACTTTCCAAGGTATTAAGCATTGCTGAAAGTTCTGCTAAAGCACAACCAGCACTATGTAATGGTCCGGCTAAACCCAATACCTTTGGCATGTACTTCAATTCTTTGGGTTTGTAAAAATTCTTAAAAATTTCTATAATATCTGATTGAACAACATCTTGATGGCAGTCTTCCAATACTAATAGATTTATATTTTCCATTTTCATTTTATTCTTTTGCAACAAATCCAAACAAGTTTGAGGATGTAGGATATAAACATGATAATCCAGTTCAATACTTGATGCCGCAGAAGTTTCCCGATAGACTTTCAGATCAGTTAAATGTTGCAGCATGGTGAACATGGCAGGTGCATTGTTAACACTTAGATAAATACTTATTTTTGTTTCTTGGGTGCACTTAACACGGCATAGTTCTTGCAATAACTTAAGAGCGATAAATTCTTTAGAAGACTTATGACCCAAACATATCATCGTGTTTCGTTCAAAAGCGGCTGCTAAAAGTTCGACTTGATAGTCCCGAGGACTAAAAACAGCCGTATGTAAGTTATCACACCAATGAAAAGACATGGTGGACTTGTATAAAATAAATAAAATTAGATGAATTCTAAGTTTTTATTTTAACACAGCGGCTGTTTGATTTTTGCAAAAAAAACTTTTATCAGCAAAATGTGACAGTCGAACGAATGACAACAAAAAAGCATATTTTACTGATACACTCAACAAAATAAGTTTAAGTTTTAAAAACACAGCCCTATAAGAAATGAATGACCGAAACTAACACATACAAAATGATTTTACTAACACACACGCAACATTTTTTTTATAGAATTGTCAAAAAAAAAATTTAATGGATGATTCCATCAACAATGACAGTCAAATGACCGGTAAAATGACCGTTACTGGACCCAATGTGTGGTATAGGGTTGAATTTGCATATGAAAGAATGAAACAACTACATTTTGATTAAAATGTATTAAAATTTATATTTTGATCAACAATGACAGCCAAATGACCGATCAAATGACTGTCACTGTGTTACAGAGTTGTATTTTTCGTCGTTACAAATTAATTGTTTCTGCGAAAGCCAAAGATCAAGAAGCGAAAAAATAAACAATTACAAAGTCTTTAAATTATTAAAAATAAAGAGAATTATTATAAACTAAATTTGAAAAAAGTTCAGGAAGTGGATCAGAAGATAAACAATTCGGAGTTTAATCAATCAATGGTAACATAAATATGTACTTATGATTTTTGTATTTCGATATTTATGAATACTTATGTATTTCTTTACAGACAACTTATTTCCACAAATTAATAGGAGCATCAGAGGACTTAAGATTCTGCGAGATATGTAAAATGGTGAAAAGACTGGTAATTTATGTATATGATTACTATATTAATAAAATTAACAATATATATATATTAAAATATCAATAAATTGTGTTTTATTATAAATTGGTATAGCCGTCAGATTTGACGGATATATTCATCAAGTGTGATTAGTCAACAATGACCGATTAATGCATCATTTTTTTATTTGTTAACTGTGATGGATATATCCATCAAGCATGATTAGTCAATCATGACTAATATTTATATCATCCATGATTAGTAAACAACAAAAGAGTGAGCAGCTCAAATATATGTTTTAAAGTCGATATAATTCATAAGTGCGAGGGTGATGCAACATCACATGTACACAAATGTTTCCATCACTTTTTACATATTGCCCTTAAGAAAGTGATGGGAGCTTTGTTCTACGCAATGATGGGTATATTCTCAGTAGTGACAGTCAATTGACCGGTCAAATGACTGTCACTGTTCTTATAGGGAGTCCACACAATATGTAAAATGTAGTACATGTGTATATTATACCCATAAAACATTCATTAATTACTGTATATGAAAAACCATGGTGAGCATTAAGAAATTATTTGTAATTAGTTTAATTTTTTATTATAAATTACATTTTTACTGAATTTATTTGTTGTGAAAAATCATAATAAACATTGCAAATCTTTAAAACAATTTGGTATAAAATAATATACATATAAATTTTTAATTGTATTATTTGATTTGTTATCTGTAAATATCCGTTTATTTGTAACAAATATAATTTTTTTTAGTGACGCAAACACACCTATTGTTAAGACAGCTGGTTTCGACAACTTCAAGGAGAATTCACATAAGGTGGTAGCACTTTTCCATGAATTTTGTTTTTGCTTCTGATACGGAATGATGTCAAAAATTGTAAGTACGGCGAATTCATTTAATGAAAATTTTTTGTGAAATATTTTATAAAAAATAAACATAAAATCATTAAAAATTAGTGAGGAAAATATACCCTAAATAAAATAATGTTTGTTTCAAGGCGAATTCAGATAAGGTGGTGTTATTCAATCAGCTGATAGTTTTTCTCTTAATTCGCCTGGTTTACGTAGCTGTCAAAGTTTGTTATTGTTTACATTTTTATATTTAAAAATTTCCGTTAAACGGAGAAAAACTTCGTTAATATTTTGAATTATTTATGTAAAAAATCAAAAATACCAAGCATCTCGTAAACAAATATAATTTTATTTAAATAATGGCATAATTGGTATGTATACAAATATGTTATTTAGGAAAAATATTTTTTTCTATTAAATGTTAATATATTAAACAATATTGTTTTATATTTTATATTAACATTGTGTAGACAACGTGATTAACTAAAAAAACTCTTCCGGAACACTTTATATATGAAGAATTTAGCCGAACAACGGCAGCTAACTTTTACATATGGCTTAATTTTGAAATCTATTAAATGTTAACAAATTAAACAATATTGTTTTATATATACACTATGTAGATAAAGTGATTAACTAAAAAAAGTTTCTTCCGGAACGCTTTATATAATAAAACCCATGAGGTATTTACCCGGCCGGCGTCTGCTACATTATTGAAAATTACTCCGCCGGAGTAGAATTATCCATTCGCAACAAAGATTCATTCATTCGTTATATATATTTTTTCGTGAATATGTACTTTTATATGTTTATTTTTCACAAAAAATTAAGTTTTTAGGCACTCACTTAAATTTTGCAAATTAATCTGCCGGAATAGAATTTTTCGTTTGAAACAAACAAAATACATGTAAAATGTTGTTGTTGCGGAACTGCCACCACCTTATCTGAATTCGCCTTGTTATAGTCTATACGCCTTGGTGCGTATACTCTCTGTTGCTGTTACTCTCAGTAACATTGTCAATCATTGGAAAGGACCACAGAAACATATGTTTGTTGTGGTCTTTACTGAAGTGTTTCGTGTAAATAGATATTTTCATTCATTTCACCTTATCTGAACACCACCTTATGTGAATTCACCTTGAAAAGTACTGTAAAAAGTTTTTGTTTTTGGTATTGCAAACAAAATTGCGGCTTTTTGAAATTAATTCAATAATAAATGAAATTAAAATATGAGACGTTCTAAGGCACCATCGGTGTTAAATAAAGCAAAACGCTGGTGTAGTTCTAAAGATAACGGTAATGATTCTAAAGACGCTGGTCATAGTTCAGATCCCGAGGATGAACAATATAATTGGGGTTCTCGAAATCATAATGGTGAAATTAAAACGAACAATTATGAAAACAAACGAATTTTCAATATAGTATGGCGTGATATATCTAATAAAAAACATAAAACTTGGAAGGGGGATGGAACGCTGGAGGTCAATAATTTTACAGTTAAAGCTATTTTAAAAGATGAAACTGGCAAATATATGGGTTGTTCAACAAAATTTAACAAAAATGATATTGCTCCTGACTTTCAGATGGTAATAGGAGGTAAAGAAATTGAAATACAAAATGAAATCAAGGAAGAAGATGAATTGCAGGAACTCCGTAATAGACAGGTTCGTAATCGCAACTGGGGAGAGGAAGAATGGATATCTCCAGAAGATTTGGCTGAAGAAGCAAAGAAACCCAAAGGAGGTTTTAAATTTAAACCCATTTTAACATTAAGGCCCCCGGAAGTACCTTCAAGTGTAGAATGGAAAGAAAATGATAAATCGGACTGGGAAAGGAATGATTATCAAAAGCCGAGCGTCTCCAAATACAACAGGGAATCTTCAATACTTTCTTATCAAAAAAATGATTCGTGTAAAGAATTCCTATGTTTTATAAGTGCTTCAGAATTGCAACAATTTCTTTTCATGAAAGCAATCGAGTACTATTCATCAGTAAAACCAAAATTAACTTTGGAAAATATCAAATCTCTTGATATAGTTAATATTTTAAAACACATTTGTAATCATCCTTCATTTATCAACAATAATTCTACCACAAATGAATTAATGCGTCATCTACAACCCACTCTACCTGACTGGTCTGAAATGGGTCCTTTTGATTCGGGTAAATTGGAATTTGTTCAGTATTTTTTATCAGACCTAATTAAGATGAAGCCTCGAAATTGTATTATTATTGCGGAAAATGCAAATGTTCTAAATATGCTGCAAGGTTTATGTAATTTTATGAATATTCAATGTTTTCGCTTACAAACAAATAGTTCTAAAGATGCCACCACCAATGAAGAACTTATAAATGAATTTTGTTCAGCGGAAAAGACGATAAGCCAAGTTTTACTAGTAAATTCGATAGAAGATATTAATAGTTTTGAGATTTCCAGTTGCTGTAAAACAATTATTGTTTTTGAGGATGTTTTAAAACATGAGAACATTTTCAACACGGTGAATAATGCCCAAGACACTATTGTATACTATTTGGTAACTGCATTTTCAGTTGAAGAATTAATACTCATAGATAAATATCAAGAAAGTAAAGAGGAGAACCTATTTGAACGCTTAGAAGAATTGGTTAATATATCAAACATGATGGACAATGATTGTTGTTATCTACATTCAAAAATTGAATGTAATTGCTTTAGAGGAACAGAAGATAGTGTTATTAAGAGCGATAATATATTTGCAAAAGAATGGAAACATTTTAAGCAACCTTTTGATGTGGAACTTTTAAAGGTAGTTTAATTACAAACGTAAACAATTAATTTAACAAAATAAAATCCAAAATTTACTAATTGATATTTTCCTTATTTATGTATATTTACAGATGTCGTTATTGGAAAATTCAGCGGAAAATATTGTTTCAATTTTTTGTAAAAATCATTCGAAATAAAGTTGAAATTTATTTGTTGAATTTATATGTATATATATTAGACCGACTCACAAAAAACGGTGCTTGAGTTACCCCTCTCAAAATATTCGCTGTTATGTAATATGATGTTACCCAAAATATTTTGGGTTAAGTGTTGTCCGTTCGTGAGCTGGACAGTTTTCAAGAAAATATACTATGGGGGACACAATTTTTCATGTTCTATTCAAAATTTTATCGAGCTTCAAACAATCTTTGTTTTGTTTTATGATGGTTCCCAAAATATTTTAAGTCTATCGATGGCAGTTCGTGAGCTGGGCCGGTTACAAAAAAGTCTTTATATTAATGAAAAACCTAACAATTTTAATTTTTTTTTTGAAATATGACAATTATGAGCAGACCGTTATTTATGATTAATACATCATTGGACGCGGCTTTGAAACCCCTTTCAAACGATACCCCATATTGAATATATTGTTTCTAAATAAAACTAATTTTTAAAAAAAAATAATTCAAAAATACCATTTTTAAATTTGGTCCAGCTTACGAACGGCCATCGCAAGACCTAAAATATTATGGGAATCATTATAAATTGGTACTTTATCGTACTTCGACTGGTACTTTTTTGACTTAGAAACATGTAATTAAGCACTTGAGAATCTATAAAAGTGGACTTTTTGGTACTTTTTTGTTCTTCAAAAGGAACTTTTTGAATTTTCTATAATATTAAACCTAGAAACATGAAAGCATGTAGAGCCCCGATTAAGTGAGAACATTTCAAGTTTTTGTATAATAATGAACCTAGAAACGTGAAATTAAGCATGTAGAGCCCGGATTAAGTGAGGTCCTATAAAAGGGGACTTTTTGGTACTTTTTCGTTCTTCAAAAGGTATTTTTTGAGTTTTCTATTAAATTCAACATAGAAACATGAAATTATGCACGTAGAGCCCGGAGTAAATGAGAATCTATAAAATGGCACTTTTTGGTACTTTTTGTTCTTTGGCTGGTACTTTTTGAGCTTGCTACAAAATTTGAACCTCGAAACATGAAATTAAGCACTTAGAGCCTGGAGTAAATGAAAATCTATAAAAGCGGAACTTTATCGTACTTCGACTGGTACTTTTTGAGTTTTCCATAAAATTAAACCTAGAAACATAAAAATAAATATGTAGGGCCCGGAGTAAATTATAATCTATAAAAAGGGACTTTTTAGTACTTTTTCGTTCTTCGACTGGTACTTTTTGAATTTTTTATAATATTGAACCTAGAAACATGAAATTAAGAATGTACAGCCCGGATTAAGTGATAACATATAAATGGGGACTTTTTGGTACTTTTTTGTTCTTCGACTGGTACTTTTTGAATTTTTTATAATATTGAACCTAGAAACATGAAATTAGGTATGTACAGCCCGGATTAAGTGATAACATATAAAAGGGGACTTTTCGGTACTTTTTCGTTCTTCAAAAGGTATTTTTTGAATTTTCTATAATATTGAACCTATAGACATGAAATTAAACCTGTAGGGCATGGAGTAAGTGAAAACATATAAAACGGGACTTTTTGGTACTTTTTCGTTCTTCAACTGGTACTGTATGAATTTTCTATTTTAATGAACCTAAAAACATAAAACTAAGCAATCAGGGACTTGAGTGAATGAAAATTTAAACTGGAGTATTTCTGGTAATTTTTCGTTCTTTTTAACTTGTACTTTTTGAATTTTCTAAAATATTGAATATATAAACATAAAATTAAACACGCAGTATCCTAATTGAACGAAAATTTATCTCAATCGAAATCCCTATAGGCCATAATTGACCCTGCCCCCTTCAATAATTCATTTTAACGTTTTCTACTTACTTAATAATACCATAATAAAACAATTTTTGTTGGAACGAAAATATGTAATGTAAACATGTAAATATGTATCTGAAATCTTCTTCAGAAAATGACTTAAACGCACATAAATGGCTTTCAAAATTAATAGCTAACACATCATTCCAAAAGTTATCATTAGGATGGAATTAAAAAAAATACTTTAAATTATAGAGAACTTTGTCCATAATTGACCCAATTCCACATTTAAGTCCCTAATCCGAAAATCACGATGACGTTCTTATTAATCTAATGATCAAAGTCCATATATATGTATATGACCACTTCCGAAATTTGATTTTTTACGACATATGATTTGCCGAATATAACTCTTACTTCTTACTTATTTTAATCATAAAGAAATTACCGCTAAAATAGGAATAGTCTGCCTTTAGATTTGCGAGTTTTCATACACTCTAATAATGTTTTCAAAGTGAAACTTTTGGAATATTTTTCAATCTCTTTGTGATCCCTTTGAATGATGTTCTTCTGGAAGAACTTTAACATCCATGTAAACATTTTGGGTAATAAATTGGGGTACTACCAATGAGGGGAGCGGAACCTCCCATATGAATTAAATACAAAAATTCGTTTATCTGGGAAACTAATAGAACTAAATTCTTCAAATTTTGCACGAACAACTTTAATATTCATCTGAACATTTTGGAGAAAAAAGGGCGGACTTTCATCTGGGGGGCTTGGAGCTCCCATATGAATTAAATAGAAAAATTCGTATATCTGAGAAACTATTAAAGCTAGAATCTTCAAATTTTACTGAAGAACATTTAGAGAATTACGGGCGGATTTTCAATGGGGGGCTTGGCACTTCCCATATGAATTAAATGCAAAATTTTGTATATCTGGGAAACTATAGATTATTCAAATTTTTCATATATTAAATTAAAATCTTAATTAATTATTGATCATTTTCTTAATGCAAAATTTTTTAGAAACTGATTTTCTGCAAGATGTTTTATATGGAGGATAAGGTTAAATATCGGCAGATCCTCGTAAAACTTGGCGAAAGGATTTGTTTTTAATTTTTAAGAATTTTTTATTCATCCCTGCATAATTTCTCACACAACTTTTGAGCTTGATCTGTTTTGTTGTTATAAATAATATATTTGCTTCCAAAATCCCACCTTCAGATCTCTCGGATTCCGTTTTTATTTAAAATCGTTGAAAATTTAAAAACTAAACATAGTTGAAAACTTAGCCGGCTTACAGTCGATTTGAAGCCACCGCCGACATATTTAGTATTGGTCGCCGCCGCCGTTAATAATTGTCGGCGCAGGTCCCTGTTTGCTTGTACACAAAATAATTTTTTGTACAGCATTTGTTGAGAAAATTTTCCAAAATTTTTAAATCCGATTATAAAAAAATGGTGAAGAGCACACCAAAAGAAACTGGCTTCGTTGTGGAAAAAATTGTTGATAAAAGAATAACGCCGGAGGGTAAAGTTGAATATTTTATAAAATGGCGCGGTTATCCCAACTCAGACAATACTTGGGAGCCGGAAGAGAATTGTGACTGTCCAAAACTAATGCAGAAATTTGAAGAATCAAGAGCTAAATCTAAGAAACGTGGTGAAAAGAAACCCAAGGTAGAGGAGATACAAAAACCCCGTGGCTATGAACGGGGCTTACCCATAGAACAAATTGTGGGAGCCACTGACACAAAAGGTGACATTTTCTATTTGGTGAAATGGCAGTTTTGTGATGAATTCGATCTAGTAGCCGGTTCAGAGTTAAAACAAAAGAACCCTGAATTTATAATCGATTTCTATGAAAAACGCTCTATTTATCAACGAAATATAAATGACCGTCTACTAGGTGTGCCTGACGAATTAAGAATCTTAAATGCCGACGGAAGTATGGGATTATCTAGCGGTCCTGCTATAACGGATGCGGCTGCAGATACGGTAGATATCACCATGCAACAGGATTTGAACGAAAGTGGAAATAGCGTTGACAGCAATGCAGTTTCATATTCCATACCAGTACCAGGAGTTGGTAACATTGCCATCGACGTACCTATGATACAACCTGGTGTATAATGAAAATTTTTTTCTTTTAATTTCTTAATCTTATGATAAAAAATAAACAAAATGTGTGGCATGAATTTCTTTAATTTAATATATTTCCTTATCTAAATTGCAGGCACCCAATGCCTTCGTTCTAAAAAGCTTAATAAAATGTCTGGCAGAGTTCAAAATATCGGGCATAACTAATATTTGTCCATCACTTCTTTTAACTTTCCTTTGAACACCCATTTTATTGGCACAAGCTACCAGAACTTCTGATATATTGTCTGTGGGTTTTTCTAAACCCATTAATGGAACATATTCATAGCGTTCATGTCGATTTAGCCAATATAGTAAATAATCAGCAATTAGGTCTTCTCCCACCAAATGATCTGGCAAACAACCAACCAGCGCCAATTTCATACCCATTTCATCACTGCTGATGCGAGGTTCCAAAATTCCTGGTGTATCAATCATGTACATTAAAGGATCTTCACTTATTTTGATTTTTTCCATAACTGAGCGTGTGATTCCGGCTATGCCACCCACTTGGGCTACAGCTTTTTTCTTCAGATGGCGATTTCGCAGAACATTAAGTAAAGAACTCTTGCCGACGTTTGGAACCCCAATTACCATCACACAATAATCTTTCTCACCTTCTCTATTATATCGTCCGGAATTTGAGATTAATTCATTAGCTAAAGGCATCAATTTACGCATGCCATTACATTGCTGATCTTTGCAGTTTGTGAATATTACATGTTCCAAACGCTCTTGTTCCCTAAGTGCTCTGCTTATATACTTTTGATCTTTGGGTGATATTAAATCCTTCTTGTTTAGAACCAATATATGAGGCTTCACGCCGCCTGCTATTGTTTGTTGAAATTCTGGATTTCGACCGGAAAACGGAATTCGTGCATCATGTACTTCTAAAATACAATCAACCGACTTCAACTTCTGTTGCATTTGTTTTAAACCTTTACCCATATGGCCGGGAAACCATCGAATGGCTTGCTTTGTCACTAGTTTATAGCTCTGTCTGAAACTCATCTTCGTAAAGTACAACTTTTATTGATAATATTGTAAATAAAACAAGACTGTTAAATAATAAATTTGTTATGATTGAATTTACACATGCTAGGATGCCAGATAATCTTATCATTTAATTTAAATTATTTCCCCATATTGTGTTGTCAATGTGAAATATGGTAACATAAATATTTTTACTACAAAATAGGGTTCAGTAATCTATACTTTGGTTCAGTAGTTGAAACGAAAATGTCTACTTTTCGACATTTGCTTTTTATAGTATTTTATAAATAGTCGACTTTTTCCGACATTTTACGACTTTCCGACTTTTCGACGTTTTACTATTTTCGACTATTTTTTTACTTTTTTTAAGTTTTTCCGACTATTTAAGAGTTTTTTCTTTTTTCCACTTTTTTTAAATTTTGGACTATTTTTGACTTTTTTCTACTATTTTCGACTTATCGACTTTTCGTCTTTTTCATGGACGATAGTCGATTTATCGACTTTTTGCAACAAAATAGTCGACTTCGACTTTTTTCGACAAAAAGTCGATTATTCGAAAGTCGATTTATAGAATATTTCTGTTTGTTTTTCTTTGTTGTGTTTAATTGTGATTAATGTTAATCTGTTTAATTATTTTTTTATATTACTAAAATTTATTTTTTCATACATCGTCAGCGCAACGATTGTAAATCACTTATTTTATGTTGCGTAGACCTGGTTCACACTGGCAAACTTTTTGATTTGTAGCTGTCAGTCGCACTTGGACGCAAAGTATTGTATATGTTTGAGTCTTCACGTTTAGCACATGGTAAATTAATTAAAATTAATATATCTTGATATGGAGTTTGACAGTCATAGCCTACAACTTAAAGTGCCAGCACGTTCTAAAACTACATGTAAAAAAAATCGAAATTGTAGTAGCAAAAACTATCAGCTGTTCTGTTAACACTACCTTATAATTAATATACCTTGCGTGAACCACCTAATGTGAGTTCGCCTTGGGATTGTCAAAATTTTTCTTTAATTTTTCTTATTGTTGTTGTCGCCACTAAACCGTGGAGTGAGTAATAAATAAAATTTTATGCCAAAAAAGCACAAAAACGAAAGATAAAAAAATACTAACAAAAATAAGCAAAATTATTAATTAGAAAAATTTTAATAGAATTAAATTAATAGAAAATGTCTCATCAAACCGGTATTAAAGGTAAGTACTTGCAAAAACAAATATTATAAAGTATACCTACTGAATAGACCCCCCGTTTAATTTTCTTGTGTGCAGCGAACGAAAAACTATTAAAAGTCTTTGGAAAAGCTAAAAATGGAAAATTACGTGTCATTAAAGTATCTATTGAAAATGGTAAAGTTTTAAATGATTTATAATGTATAATATAGGTATTTGTTAGTTTTTCACTTGAATTTTGAATTTTTATAGAGGAATTATCTTGCTCAACCACCGCAGACGTAAAAAAAGACTGGGAAAAAGATTTCGATAAACTTGTTGCTCCCCTAGTTGAGGAGAATGTACCGTGTTATATTTTATATCGTTTGGATAGTAAAACATCTTTGGGTTATGCCTGGCTCTTGCTAAGTTGGGTACCTGACACCGCTTCCATACGCCAGAAAATGGTTTATGCTTCCACTAAAGCTACGCTCAAACAAGAATTCGGTTCTGCTCATATAACTGAAGAGATACATGCCACCTCAAAGGATGAAACCACGTTGGAGGGTTACCAAAAGCATAAAAAGGCCTTTGCCGCTCCAGCTCCCTTAACTACACGTGAAGAGGAGATGGCTGAATTGCGAAAAACTGAAGTAAATACTGAAATAAATACCGACACGCGCCATCAAACTCTTGGTGGTATATCATGTCCTCTATCTGATGCCACAAAACAAGCTGTTCTTGACTTATTAAGCGGATCCTACGACTATTTGCAATTTCGCATTGATCTAGAAGCCGAACAGATACATGTTTCACATGCTGCGGTCGTACCGTTAACAGATCTTCCTAAACAAGTACCCGATGATCATGCTCGTTATCATTTGTATTTGTTTAAACATACACATGAGGGTGATTATTTAGAATCCTATGTCTTCATTTACTCAATGCCCGGTTACACCTGTTCCGTACGAGAACGAATGATGTATTCTAGCTGTAAGCAGCCATTTTTGGAAACGTTACACTCGTTTGGTGTAGAAATAGCTAAGAAGGTAAACTTGAGAAAAATATTATCATATATGATAAAATCTGGAATAAGATTAACGAGCTAAAGATTAACTGATAGTAAATTGAAAACCTATATCATATTTATACATCTATTTTTAGCTTGAAATTGACTCTGGTTCTGAACTAACCGAAGAATTTCTTCAAGATGAATTACATCCAAAGAAAATGCTCCACCGACCGGCTTTTGCCAAACCAAAAGGTCCACCCAATCGTGGTGCTAAACGATTAACTAAACCCCAAGAACAATCAACATAAATTCAATTTAGCATTTGAATAATTACAAGTCTTTTGTTTACCTTTGCTTTATATTTTATGTTCTCAATATGGTATTGTAAAATATCAGTAGAAAGAAATTTTCAATTTAATTTCTTTGCATATTTAGACTGCTTACTGCTATTTATATTTCAGAATGCTTTTCTTAGCCTTGAAATTGAAGTATTTTTGTGTTTGTATTTAATTATTTTGTGTGCATTATTTTTTATAAGAAAATTTATCAATTTGTTTTTATATATTTTTCATATTTTTATTTTTTTTATTAAAAATTAAAATTGGATATTTATTTTAATCTTTATAATAAAATCTTTAAAATATACTATAGCATAATATTGTGCATTTTAATTTCTATGTTTTTTTTCAAATAAGAGAAAATTTATAAAAATGTTGAAAATCTACTATAGATCTTTTGTTTCAAAAGGCGAGATTAAAGAAACAATTACGTTGTTTCTTGATCGAAATTTACCAAACCCAAACTAATTGTCGATTTTTATTCCAATAATTAATGTTCGATAAAATTAGCTTTCGCTTATATGAAAACGGAGATACTCATAGATTGAAATTTACGAAAATATATTTACATAAGCAATGGTAATTGCATTATATAAGTACTATATTTTAAATCATGGGTAATTGTCTGATTGTATTGAAACTTTTTTTAAAACTAATTAATTTATGTTTTTTACTTTAATATTCTAAAAAACTTACAAACAATGAATTCTTTATTTAACATTTTCTAATGTAATTTTTTCACCAACTTTAGCATCATGAGCTTTTAGAAGTTCAGGTGTGGGTTCATCTTGTTCGGCAGCCAGCTAATAAATGTATCAAATTAGTTTATATAAAATCTACAAAAAAAGTAAATATTGTTAAGCCTCACCTTATAAGATTCAGCAATTGCATCATCGCGATTTGCACGCCACTTGTATTGCCAATAGCGAACCTCTTCCATAGAAGTACCCGATAAATTTAATATTAACAAGGAGGCGGCTCCACCTACGCCCCCTAAGACACCACCTATAATGCCACCAGCGGTCATACCTCTTAGGCCCATATTAAATTTGTACATAGCTCCCGATAAAGTGCCGGCGGCCAAATACTCATAAATAGAAGATTTCTCTCTGTAAACTGACACCAACGTTACAATACCACTAGAATGGAGGAGAAAAATTTACAAAAAAGTTTTTAACCATAACATTTCAATTGTAACTTACTAGTACGATGTAGTAAATAAGGCAACTCGCCAACCCCATTTAAAACCACCTTTAGCGAAATTCATTGTAAATTGATCTTGTAGTTTTCTCTGTAGATAAAATAAAAATTAATTGTTATTTTCACTTATCCCACAAAACCTTACTTTAGCATCTAAATGAGATTTGAAAGCTGTTGCTTCATTATTTTCCATGAAATTCATGTAGGCCTGACGTGATTGTATAATACCGCCATAGATTGCACCCACTAAGAAACCCAAGAAACCGGCTTGATAAATTGAATTTAACTCTGCTGAAATTGCTCCAAACTCACTGTAAATTTAAATTTCTTTCATTATAATTAAAGTAAATATATTTTGAAAGGCTTACTCCACTTTAAATATTTCCTTAACTCTTTCCCAACCAGTTTCATTTGATGGCGGGCGCTGTACAAATGATTTGTATGTTCTGGTGTCTTTGGAGACTTTGTCGTGTTCATCGGAGTGTAGAGGTAATATGCCAGCTATTAACCACTTTCCCCCGCTTCGTAGAAAACTCATTTTAATTGATGCTTCCGAAATTAAAAATCACTTGTAAACACGCCGATTGCGATTTTTTTGAAGTGACTTGTAGTACAGCTGTTGTTTTTATAAAAAAAAAACAAACTCACAGCTGTTTTAATCGTCAGTGTTGGGTGAAATAAATTTGTGACATTAGCAAAACGTCGACTTTTAATAAACTTGTTCAAACTATAGATCTCAAGAAAAATAAAGTGCAATTAACAAAAAGTACAATAATGATGAATTTTCCATCTCTGTTTGAAAAAATTCATATTGTTATCATTAAACCGTGGAGTGATTAATAAATTCAGTTTTATGCGAAAAAGATAAAAGATAAAAAAAAATCTGAAGATTAATTGAAAAAATAAGCAAATACATTAATTAGAAAAATGTAAATATAAATTAATATAAAGTGACTCTTAAAACCGGCACCAAAGATATGAAATATATCCATATTGTAATACAAAATCCATCCAGGACAAAAAAGAAATACATATGTATATACATACATACATACATATGTATGTACTTACGATATTTAAAAACTAGTGTGTTTTAGAACAAGGCTTTTTATGACTGTTGGATCAGGTAAATCAGTGCCCCATCCCTTGATTTTTTTAAGTAGACAAGAAGTAATCAGATTGGGTTCTGAAAAATATGTCCATTTATTAGTGATACGAATTATTACACAAGAACAACATTTTAACACTATATACTTACTTAGTAAGTAATCAAAATAATGCTATGATGCAAAAAATAAAAAAAGGAAAAGTTTTTAGTTTGTGACACATCCAAACATCAAATTTGCATAAAGGCATAACCGACAAAAAAACAAAATTGTACAAAGCATACCTACTACATATGTATAAAATTTCGATAATTAACATTTCTGCATTAGATAGCACTTTCGATTCAATATTGGTGAGTTGGTATATTGGTTTTAGGTAATGTAATTAGAGATAGGCATATTGATAATTACATAGATTTATAAACAAATAGGTATAAACAGACATTTGGGATTTTATAAAGAACGTTAATTTGTTCGGTGTTTATATATAAATTTAAAAAATAACTATTTCAAAAGTGAAATTAAAGGAATTTAATTTTGGGCTATTTATTGTAATACATACTAGTGGGTGGAGATTTGTCCGCGTTGCAGGCAATTGATTGAAAATGTGGACACTCTACGTAAATATCTAAATATCTAGCTTAGATATCTATCAAAAATATCTTGTAGACAAGATATTTTAACAAGATTTTAAAATTTTTAGCATATGGAATATTTTTCAATTCAAAATTGGTTATTTTTGTTTGCATTTTTTTTTGCATGTGATTGGAAAATGGATTGTCAAATGACTAACTGCCGTATGCAAAAACGAATATTAAGTTAACAATTATTATTAAACCATTGTTAACTTTAATAATATGTTGTAATATTTAAATATCTAAAAATTTTTTTTACATACATATGTATTACTGCTGTAAATGAATCATTCATTAATTTTTAATTAATTTGAATTAGCAAATTTTGAATTAATTTTGTTCACACGTAAAATGAATGAATTCAAATGAATCGCAATTTTAAATTCGAATGAATTTGTCAAAGTGAATCGCAAAATTCATTTTAAATGGAAACGATTTGCAATCCATTTTACAGATTAACTTGTATAGAAAAAGAATTGACATTAATATCTGCTAATTAGTTTGAATTGATTAAAGTTTCATTCAATTCTTTTTTGTTGTGTTTATTCAAAATTTTGGTAATTCGTAACGAAATAAAAAAAAAAATTTTAATTTACAGCTCTGATATGTATATGTACTTTTGTTTAAAATTTCCTTTTAATATTCAAATTATTTGCTGAATGGTTTCTTATTTTAATATTCTTTTTAACTTTAAATTTTTTAGAAGATGCACAGAAAAAAATAACTTATAATATCAAAAATTTTGTTATAATACATACATATTTATAATCATTATTGAATTATGAAAAATAATAAAGAAATTCAAAATAAAATTGTAAAATAGTAATTAACATTTGTGCACTTGTAAAACTTTATAAATGTCGTTAATGTTAATAGGCATTAAAAGATTTACAAGTTGTGTGTTTTTTATTTGTTAAATTGCGTTAATGTACTAATTAAAAATGGCTCCTAAAGGTATGCTTTAATTTTTTATTTTACGTACATTTAGCGCCATCTATTGTTTCGATTAACGATCTTTCAAAAAGTGAAAATATTAGTTTTCCGACCTGGCAACACTTCCGCCAAAAATTAATGCCTTTAACAAAATTTGGTCTGGCAAGTCTGTGTTTTCTTAAAAAGTTAAGGTATTGCCAGACCAAATTTTGTTAAAGGCATTGATTTTTAGCGGAAATATTGCCAGGTAGGAAAACTTAATTTTTTCATTTTTGAAAAATCGCAAGTGCAAATAATAGATGGCGCTAATTTTAGGCTAATTAAAATTTCAAAGCATACTTTTAGGCTTTATATTTTAAATTGATTAAAGTTAAATAAAAATGCATTTTGTATGTATTCAATGTTTATTTGATTTTATTTATTCGTATAAAAAATTATAAAAAACATATTTTGTATAATTTTGAATAAATGCTATTTTAAAGCAATAAAAACATAAATTTTCTGTAAAATAAATGTATAATTAATTGGAATTAAGAATGAATATACCATTAGTTTAAATGGTTATGTCTCAGAAAATGTTAAGTGTGGGATGAATAAATATAAATAAATAAATAAATAATTTAAAAATCTCTATAAATTAATATGTTGTGGTGATCCAAAAAGTTGTTCATTTGGTCCGTTATCTCAAATAGTTGTACAAAATTTTAAACATAATAATCGGGCAGTTATTTCACAAAAAGTTTTGTGGTTAGTGAAAAGTTTATATAAAAAACACAACTTAAAGTAAAAATTCTTAGGAATTGTACAATACAATGGCTGGTCATCGTTAATCTGGTGTCGGTAATCAATTATGGTTCAAACAATTATGCTCCTTTGGCTGTTTTTGTGTATTTTATATAGATGATCATCCTCTTCTCGTAATCTCAAGATTTTGCAGCTGAAATTGGTGAATTCTTATAAATATTTATTTATTATAAGCTGCAATGGCCAAAGTAACAATATTATGTACATACTAAAAAAATAACATTTAAGAAACACCAGTTATAAGAAAATTTAAAATGTGATTTATGTTATAAAATATGTATGTATGTTGAATTTAGGTCTATAGGTATACTTAGGACCATAATATTAGGAACATTATAGAACCCGAGTGGTGTAGGATATAACCATATTTTTTTAAAGACCCTCATTACATAAAGATACATAATAATCCGATATATGATGGATTTGGAATGATTTGAAATCGACCGATTAGAAAGGGTGTGATGAGTTTTGATCAAGGGATTTTTTTTAACAAATTGCCTTCTATTTAAGAGAATCTATTAAAAAAAATATGATAAAATTTGATGAAAAACTGTAGAAATTCAATATTAAATAATATAAAAAAATAATTTTTGGCGACATCAAATCGATTCGCAATGAAATTCATTTTTTAAAACGAATCGATTTACATACATGCATATTTCAAAAGATATTCGAATATACCTTCAAATAATGTTGTACTGTCATCGGGTGAATTCGGTCTACGAAAACTGGTTTAAAACTCAGTTAAACATTTTTAACTTAGAGCATAATAATACTATGATAATATAAGATATGCTAATTTATACAAGCAATGAATGAAAATCTTCATTGAACAAATTTAGGTTTCTGTATTAATAAAAAACATTTGACAAGAAAATTAACGAATGAATGATGTTTTAATTATATACATATCTATCTTTGAAGAAATAAGCGTGAAATAGATTTTAATATTTTTTCTATTCAATTTAGAAATATTTTTGTAAACTCACAATTATACCTTAATAATAAGAATTTTTAAAAACTTGAATGAAAAATTTGAATGTTAAATAGATACCATCATAGTTTTTTATTATTTACATTTCTCTTAATATTTTAGGGAGTGTATTGGGAATCCCTATACGGGAGTAAAATGTAAAAAGAAATAAATGATTTAAAATATAGTCATCACAATAAATAAGTATTACTTTTTTAATGTGTTCAATACTTTGTTGTTTTAAACATTTTTCTTAAGCGTCTGTTAAGTATTGTTATTTGTGTCTGCTGTTGTGCAAATTTATTGTACATATATTTATATATAAATTTAGAACCCGAACGAATTTCAATATCAGTTCTTTATTTATAGTTGCAGGCTTAAATAAGATTTGTTTAGAACAGAAATATTTTTTTAATATAATGTTTTGGCTACTACTTGTTTCTTCTGTAGCATTATTAGCTACTACAAACGGTCGTGAGTGAATTCAGTTTTTTGCTAATTTTTTAGCGTGATGATTCATTGATTTAAATTGTTTAATTGTCTAGAATATGATAAAGACTGTCAAATGCAAAATCAACAAACTGGCCGCTGTGTACCCATAAAATCATGTAAAAAAACATACGAACTTTTAAATATAATTCTTACTAGTGGAGGTGGTAAACCAACAGATTCAGAAAGAGCGATATTATTAGCATCGAAATGTGGTACTATGAAAAATGAAGTAAGTAGAATATTTTAACATTTAACTGTAAAATTGCATTTGATTACTTCAAGAGAAATTTTTATCATTTCGAGATTGTCATATAAATTAACTTTTAAATATATGTATGTATACTATACTTAACATTTAGTACACACAATATTTTTTGATTTATTAAAAACTTCTAAGGTGTTGAGTGACTTCTAATGTTATAGAGTGTTTCAAATTCACTAAACCGAGTTGAGAATAATAATGTGTTTTTTATTTGTTTATCTCTATAAAATCTATATTCAATTTGGAATCTACTCTCAGTATTTTCAATTGAAAATATCTTCTATTATTATATTAAAATGCCGGTCTCTTTTTTTTTAATCTCAATCTCTCTTCACGTATATATATAAATACAGTGAGTTATAAGCGAAGTTGTATGTATTCAATTAAATACACAAACAATTAAGAAATACGAATATTTGACATTTCCGCATCGTCTCATTAATTTACTAATAATCCTGTCGTTATTTACCCGATTTAGAATCGTATTGTACTAAACTTTCTAATTTTTCGGCAAACAAAGAAATTAAGTTAGAAGTGACCAGTGGTAATTTAAACCGCTCCAAGTAATCAATGATCTAGCGTCATTAAAGTAAATTTTTCAAAGTCTTTAATATTCGCAGAGCTATAAGTGCAGGAGGGCTATCCGGATTTGAGGTTAATATAATATTAAAGAAGTAAGTAAGTATAATCCGGCGTGGCCGACCATATGATACCCCAGACCTTTTATGAATATTAAATGTGATTTATTTTTAATAATAAAGCATTTGTCTTGATATATTTAAACAATTTATGGAAGAACAAGTAAGAGTGTTATATTCGGCTGTGCCGAAAAGGAATGCTTCCTTATAAATAAACTTTGATATTTAAGAATCGATGCTTTTGTTATTATCAAAACAACTTTCTCTTAGGTTTGGTCAATTATGGACCGATCCTCGTCAAATTTTCTAGAACGATTTTAGTTTAGGCTAGTAATGAGCGTTAAAGCCATTTGTGAAGGGGACCTTATATGGGGGGTAGGGTCAATTATGAACCGATCCTTATAAAATTTTACAAAGCGATTTAGGTTCCTATAAAATATGTTCATGTTGAATTTCATCGCTATAGATGCTTCTTTTGAACAGTTATGAGCGTTAAAGTAATTTTCTGAAGGGGACCTTATATGGGGAATAGGGTGAATTATGGACCGATTCTTATAAAACTTTACAATGATATTAAGGTTCCTATAAAATATGTTCATGTCAAATTTCATCGTTATGGAGCTTCTTTAAGGCTGTTATGAGCATTAAAGTCATTTTCTGAAGGGGATCTTATATGGGGGTAGGGTCAATTATGGACCGATCTTCGTAAAATTTTACAAAGCTATTTAGGTTTCTATGAAATAGGTTCATGTCGATTTTTATCGCTATAGATGCTTCTCTTAGACAGTTATGAGCGTTAAAGTCATTTTCTGAAGGGGATCTTTTATGGGGTTTACGGTCAATTATGGACCGGTCCTTATAAAATTTTGCAAAGCGATTTAGGTTTCCATAAAATAGGTTCATGTCGAATTTCATTGCTATATATGCTTCTTTTAAAGAGTTATGAGCGTTAAAGTCATTTTCTGAAGGGGACCTTATATGGGGGATAGGGTCAGTTATGAACCGATCCTTATAAAATTTTACAAAGCGATTTAGGTTTCCATAAAATAGGTTCATGTCGAATTTCATTGCTATAGATGCTTCTTTTGGACAGTTTTGTGCGTTAAAGTAATTTTCTGAAGGGGACCTTATATGGGGGATAGGGTCAGTTATGGACCCATCCTTATAAAATTTTACAATGATATTAAGGTTCCTATAAAATATGTTCATGTCGAATTTCATCGGTATAGATGCTTCTTTTGGACAGTTATGAGCGTTAATGTCATTTTCTGAAGGGGATCTTATATGGGGGGTAGGGTCAATTATGGACCGAACCTTTTAAAATTTTACAAAGCGATTTACGTTTCTCTAAAATAGGTTCATGTCTAATTTCATCGCTATAGATGCTACTTTTAGTCAGTTATAAGCGTTAAAGTAATTTTCTGAAGGGGAGCTTATATGGGGGATATGGTCAATTATGGACCGATCCTTATAAAATTCTACAAAGATTTTAAGGTTTCTGTAAAATATGTTTATGTCGAATTTCATCGCTATAGGTGCTTCTTTTAGTCAGTTATGAGCGTTAAAGAAATTTTCTGAAGGGGACCTTATATGGGGGCTAGGCGAAATCGTGGACCGATAATGCCCATTTTCAATACCAAACGAACTGCATCAACTAAAAGTATCTATGCAAAATTTCAGCTCTCTAGCTACTTCCGTTTGGACTCTATCGTGTTTTCAACAGACAGACGGACGGACATGGCTAGATCGTCTTAGAATCTAATATGGACCCAGAATATATATACTTTTATGGGTCTTAGACGAATATTTCAATGTGTTACAAACGGAATGACAAAAACAATATACCCCCCATCTTTTTGATGGTGGGTATAAAAACAAACATTCAAGGGTCAAATCAGAACCGATCTTTAGGAAATTTGGCAAGGTCATCAAGACTTGCATAAAACCTAGTTGTGACGCTTTTTAACAAGATGCAAGTATATTTAACATAATTATGAACTCAAAAGCCCTTTTCGGGGTTTCTATTATATATGGCTAGGTAAAATAATAGGCCGTTTTAACCATTTTCAATGGGCTTCGTTCTTGGGCCATAAACATCGTATGTGCCAAATTTCATCCTCCAGACGGACATGGCTCAATCGACTCAGAAAATGATTCTAAGCAGGTGGGTATAGGACGAATATTTTGGTGCGTTACAAACATCAACACAAACCCAATATTCCCTCCCCACTATAGTGGTGTAGGGTATAAAAAATAAATTTTATGTCTGAATTAAATTTACTATAAATGTTTGCGACAGAACATTTGAAGTGTCCTATGTTAATGTTTAGTAGAATGGCACTTTCGGGATTTGAACCTATTCTTACATTAACTGCCTTATCCAAAACGATGGTTATTAAAACCTGTTTTTATATGTTTCCTATTTTTTGTTCAATTCAGGAACCAAGCTCTACTTTTTATCTTGTTAATTTTTAAAACATTTTAGGGCTAAAATAAGAATTTACGAAAGTTTTGAGAACTCTTTTTAGCATGTCTCCCACATATTTTATAATAAAATACTTATATGTCAGCCCACTTTTATTGTTCCCTGGGTTTCGATTTTTTTTTTAATTTTTTCTCGTCTGTGTAATTGAAACTTAATTTGAAAGAATCACTTGTTCAGTTTAGCCCATATCAACTGAATATAAGTAGGATATCGTTAACTATGTAGTATCAGAATTTATAATTTAATATTGGTCGGTCAAAATTATACAATAATTTTTATTTTTTTTGTATTTTTTGAAGACTTTAGTTTGCTGTACCGAATCGGAAATTCAGCTGAATGTTGATGGTTTGAACATATTGAAAAATAATACTTGTGGTATTTATAGTGTGGATAAAGTTTCGAATGGTCATCAAGCAGCATTATTTGGTTATCCATGGATGGCTCTACTAAAATATAAAGATGAACGTCAACCCTTTAAATGTGGTGGCACAATAATAAGTGATCGTAAGTTAATGAATATTTTGTTAAATATTTAACATAAATTTTAATTGTTTTTTTTTTTTTTTTTTTAATTTCCAATAGAATACATTTTAACGGCAGCTCATTGTGTTCATAAATTGGAACATTTACTGTAAGTCTTTATAATAGTAAATCTTTATATTTAACTTATATATAGAATAAAACAAATATATAAGATCATGACCTATGTCTATGTATAAACCACCATCTGAAGTTCTTTTTTAATTCTTTAAAAAGGACGTTTTATTGTAAATTTAAGATAGCCAATAGTCCTGAGAACAGATCATATTGTTTCCAGGATTAATTTTAATTTTAGTAATTTGACATTTAAATCAGTTTTATTAAAATTGAATCAATAATTTTTTAATCCTTTATCATATTTTTCTTCACTTTTGAACAGTAATGCAGTACGTTTGGGAGAACATAAAATAAGCACAGAAAGGGATTGTATTAAAACACCACGAAAAGATATATGTGCTCCACCTGTGGAGGATGTTGGAATAGAAGAAATAATAATTCATGAGAAATACACTAGGAGCCTTTATCATGACATAGCTTTGATACGTTTGAATAGAAAAATTACATTTCAACGTAAGTTTATAATTTACAACTAAATCATAAAACAGTGAATAACTTGACTCTAATTTCAGGTCATATAAAACCCATTTGTTTGCCAATATATGATAACTTACGTAATAAGGAATACAGTCAATATGTCATCTCTGGTTGGGGTACAACAGAAAATGGTTAGTGCAAATATTATATTTTTAAATTTTATTCTCTAATTAAAAGTATATTTTCTCACTTAATAGGCACTACATCCGATATTCTGTTAGTCGCTATTGTTAACAAAGTCGATCGCATGGAGTGCGAGAGATTGTTAAGAATGCATCGCCTTCGATGGCCAATAACAATGGGACAAATTTGTGCCGGTGGCAAAGATTTAGTAGATACCTGTCGCGGTGATTCTGGTGGACCATTGGGATATCGCGACTTTTATAATGATACACCACGTTTTATACAGTTTGGTATTGTCAGTTTAGGTTTGGAAGCGTGCGGTGTTAAGGAAGTACCAACTAGTTATACAAATATTTCATATTATTTGCAATGGATAACGGATCATATCAGTGCAAAATAGGACATAAGAAAAATGTAGCCTGGTGTTCAAACTATTTTTAATTATAATAATCAAATTATCTTTAATAACACATGTGTAAATCTAAATCGAAATTGTCACCTTCGGAACTGATTCTGAGGATGTTTGCAGCGGTTCTGTAACTAGTTCTTAAATCAATGATTTTTGTTAGAATTTGTCTTCGGAACTTCGGAACTAGTTCTAAGGAACGTATATACTTTATTTAAAAATGGTTTTATTCAGCGATTTCTATACGATATTATGGAGATTAGAGATTAGAACTAATTTTGAGAAACTGTTGAGGAATTATTATTATTGTAACAATTTAATTTACAAAACTTACCTACATATCTTACGTAAAATTCATTATCTATCTGCAGCACCTATAACACCCTGTAGCAATTTTGAAAAAAGCTTTCACACATAGAAAAGTTGATATGCATATAAAATTAGATTCCATATATAGGAATTCTGCATACTCTGATTTTTGTAATCAACTCTTATGTCCTTAAAAAAGGACTTCAAAGTTTAAAGGACTTACAATTCCAAACGAATATTTTAAATATTTATATGTATTGTATGATGCTAATATTGGTATCAGATAAAAGCTGGGAATCTGTACATTCTATCTGTATTATTTATTTGACTCAAATCGAAAAAGAAATTAAATTTAAAAAGGTCTCATTTTCGAAACAAAAATTTTTAACTATTTTTTTGTGACAAATTTTCTTTAGGTTTTCATTTCTTTTTTGATCCTGATGAATTGAAATAAATAATATTAATTTGAAGCAGAGGTTCTCAGCTTCTGTTGATATTAGTATTAATACCAAATTTTGTATATATATTTGGAATTACATCAATAGAAATCGTATGTTCTTTAAAGTTTAAGGTCATTTTACAGGGACATACGAATTGATTATGAAAAACTGAGTACACAGAGTTAATGCTAATGGTCCACAGAATGATGTACGCAAAGATTTTTTCATGTTGCACTTTCTATTCTCCTGGTACAATTCAATCAGGAATCTCCTTAATTCGTTAAAGTTCAGTTGTATGCAGAAATATACATAAAATTATTTTTGTATTGAAAGAAAGACTATTTAATTACAAAATACTTGACTTTTGATATACAAAACGTTGCCAAATTAATTGGAAATTAGTAAAAATTATAATTAACCTCCGGTGGCTACATACTATGTATATTATCTGTATTCTAAGAATTCAATAAATTATTTTTCTTAGAACTTTATATGAACGCGAGCCCAAAAAAATATTTTTATACGAACCATAAAAAATAGGGGTATATGTACATATTGATTTTGTCATTGCGTTTGTAATTTTCAATTCTAAACTCATTTGAATTGACTAAAATTTTATTCAATTAATTTTTGTGTGCGAATGATTTGCGAACTAGTTCAAAAATGAATAATTCATTTGCAGCTCTAGTAAATATGTATCTTGTCATTGAGTAAATCTTATAAATAAATACCAGAAGGATCCTTTCATAAAATCCTATAGGGCCGTCTTCCGAAATTCACTTTAAATATGTATATCACATGCTTTGATGGTGAGTGTATATGATTCGGTATAGCCCATTATGACAGTCTTGCTTGTTATGTTTAAGTCGATTTACATATTTATATTTTACTTAAAATTTTCTTATCTCAATCTGCAATAGAAAGAAGCAGTGTTGCCAATTTAGCACTTTTAGTGCTAGATTTAGCATCTTATAAACTTATTTAGCACCCAAAAAGGTAATCGACCACCTAGCACCATTTGTAGCATTTTCAAATATTCTTTGCCTTTTTTATCGTTGTTCAAAAGGTACTTTTTTAATTTTCTATTATATTGAACCTAGAAACATGAAAATAAACAAGTTGAGCCCGGATTAGGTGACTGCCTATAAAAGAGGACGCTTTGGTACTTTTCCGGAACTTTTTGAATTTTCTATAATATTCATTGTTTCAAAATATGCAGATACTAAAGAGAAATTTGCGTCACAGGACCTGAATATATGTATTTAAAAAAGGATTTAATTTATGTCTTCCCATTAGAATGTTCCTTAAAATATCTTTATAACTGTAAACCAGGTTTCAAAACAAGTAGGAAAGTATTGTCGGGCATGGCCGACCCTACTTTCTTACTAATACCCTACACTATGTTGAATTTTACAATGTATTTAAGTAATTTATTCATAAAAAAACAAATTTTCTAAATGAGGCTTTATATAAGAGTATAGGTCAAACATCGGCTGATCCTTATTAAATTTGAGAAAAGGATATATTTTTAAATAACAGTTAGTTATGTTGAGTTTCATTGCGATACAAATGGTTATAAGTCAATTTTAGACGTTTAAGACATTTTTTGAAGGGGGGTTTGTATGGGGGCTAGGGTCAAATAAGGGCCTCTCTTTTGGAAAATATCATATATACTTATATAAAACTTATTTGTGCCAATTTTTGGAGAGATAATAGCATATTTGACGTAATTATGCCATAAAAAGCCCAAATCGGGAGGTACGGTTGTAAGGGGGCTAGGTGAAATAATGGACCGATTTCAACCATTTCAGATAGGCTTCGTCCCTGTGCCAAAAAACACATTTGGTCCAAATTTCATCAAATTATACCTTGCTTACAAGGTTTACATGGACAGCCAGCCAGCCGAACAGACGGACGGACATGTTTTAATCGACTCAAAAAGTGATTCTGCGTCGATCGGTATACTTTAAGGTAAGGTAGGACCAATATTTTTGTGTGTTACAAACATCAGCACAAACGTATAATACCCTCCCCACTATAGAGGTGTAGGGTATAAATATTCAAAACAAAAAGTTTATGTGTTGCGCATCAATTCACTCGTTCAATGGAACGGTTCCGGAACTAGTCCTTTAATAAATGATTTTAGTTTGATTTTGCTATCCTCAGAAACAATTCTAATTCTACTAGCTAAAAACATTATTATAAAAAAGTACCAAAAATAGAGTAATTTTTGAAAAATTCTAGGAGAGCAATATTAAAAATCCGCTTTTTGGGCTACATAAATTAAGAATCAAAAACTCTAAAACCAGTAATTATACAAATTTTATTCTGTATTAAAATTATCTCATAATAAGTTTAAAAATTTTAAATCAAATATTTTACAATAGAAAAAGCTTTTTTTTTTTCCAATTAGGTTTTGGCAACACTAATTTGAAGTATTTTAAAAATAAATGATTATAAAAAGATTGATTGATCTGTATATAAATTAATTTTTTTTAATAAGAAGTTTCAGATCATATCACTCACTGAACGGAAGAATAATGTTTTACGATTTCATAATAATAATTCCTTTACTGTGGACAATTGCACAAGGACGTAAGAAATTTTGAAATTATTTCTTTTCATTGCATATATGAATATATTTTTTCTTAAACAGAGTATGGAACTAATTGTTTACTTCCCAATCATCGAAGTGGCCTGTGCATGCCTTTGAAATCTTGTAAATCGACATATAGAATAGTTAATAATATTCTTGACAATGGCGGTAAAATTAGCAATGCTGATCGAGAAAAGCTTTTGAGTCTACAATGTGGAACTATGAGACATATTGTATGTATGACAGTATATTTGTTTGTATTTTAAATTTAGTATAATTGATTATTTAAAGCACTTGGTATGTTGTGAAGAGTCTGATATTCAATTAAATCCTCTCGGTTTAGATTTACTAACAAATAATTCTTGCGGCATAGAAAACACAAATAGAGTAGCATACGGTCGAGATGCTAAATTATATGGTTTTCCTTGGATGGCTTTGTTAAAGTACGACGATCCTATAAAGCCATTCAAATGTGGAGGATCATTAATAAGTGATCGTAAGTATTTTTAATAAATCTAAAATTCTATTTAAAAATATACAAATGTTCATTTAAAGTTTTGTTGTTCTTACTTTAAGAATATGTTTTAACTGCAGCTCACTGTATTAATGAAACCTTAAAGACACTGTAGGTATATATTTTAATTCACAGTTAATAAATAAGTGAATAAATAAAACAAATAAGTATCTACATAATTTACGACATACATATATTTCAGTATTGCAGTAAGACTTGGAGAACATCGCATTAGCACCGAACAAGACTGTGAAAACTTGGGTAGAAAAACTATTTGTTCTCCACCCGTCGAAGATATTGGCATTGAAGAAAATTATAAAACATGAGCATTATACAAAAACTTATGTACATCATGATCTTGCATTACTGCGTCTCAATAGAAAAGTTCGCATTCAACGTAAGTAAAATTTTTGATATTTATGTATTTATAAAATTATTTAATAAAATTTTATGTAGAACATATTAAAACTATCTGTTTGCCAATATACGACAATTTAAGAACAAAAGAATATGATAAGTATGTCATATCCGGATGGGGAGCAACCGAAAGAGGTCTGTAACGATTTCTATTGAAATATGCTAGATCAGCATGAAAACGTTTTATTACTTTAGATATGTTATCCGATGTTCTCCAGGTTGCTGTTATATCAAATATAAATCACGTAGAATGTCAAACACAGTTAAGAACGTTTCGTTTTCGCCAGAATATAACAAGGGGACAATTTGTGCCGGTGGTGAAAATTTGACTGACACCTGTAAGGGAGATTCTGGTGGACCTTTGGGTTATAGAGACATTTACAACGGCAAGCCAAGGTTTATACAATTCGGAATTGTAAGTTTTTGGTGTTACTGGCTGTGGCCGTATAATAGCACCATCTATATTTACAAATGTTGCTCACTATATACAATGGATAACGGATAATATGTACTGAAACATTGATTTTTTTAATATATAAATATAAAATATTTTAATATATAAATAAAAAGATATCTTCTATATACATATATAAAAAAGTAGAGCTCCTGACTAATTTGTCGTACAACCTAAACGGCTGAACCTAAAATCATGATATTTTGATAGGAGATGTCTTCTTAAATTACGTTTAAGCGGTAAAAATTGTGTTTATTTTTGATATTTAACAAATTTTCTGAGGGGGGCTTTGTATGGGCCAAGTGATGCCCGTTCAGTAAAAAATTCAGCAGGGTCATTAAAGCTAGTATAAAATTTGTTGTACCGCTTTTTGTCTAGTACGAGTATATTAAAACAAATGTTGATCTCAAAAGTCATATTCAGGGGGTTTAGTTGTATGAGGGCTAGGTGAAATCATGGAAAGATTTTAACAATTTTCAATAGGCTTCGTCCATGGAACAATAGAAGATTATAATGATGAAAGTGTACTTTATTATAAAAAATTTATAATAGTGTTCACATGATATACACTTATACATTTGTATTGACATAAATGTTGAAATAAAGAAGATTACCTTTATAGAATGTTAATTTTCTGGTGGCACATTATGACTCAATCCGATATTTATATATCGATGTCACTAAAGTAAAACTTTTTAATACATTTAGAATGTTTTCAATAAAAAAGATGGGTGGGTATATTGAGTTAATAATTCCGATTGTAACACATTAAAATATTGACGCATACCCTCAGAAGGATATTTGGATCATTATTAGATTTTAAAACAATCTAGGTCTAAAATTCAAAAAATATTTGTTTTATGAAGCTAGTGAATTTTGTAGAGGTCGGCTCATATTGTACTCAAGCCCACATTAAAGGTCATATATCACTACAATATAGATATATGATAATAAAATTCAGAATATATAAATATATATATATATATATATATATATATATATATATATATATATATATATATATATATATATACAGTGTCTCTCATAAGTATTCGAATTTAGGTAAACTATGAAAAGAAACCAAATTTAATAATATATTTTGTGTGGGAAATAAATAAATAAATTTGTTATATTGTCTAGATAGTCTTTAGTTTTGATATCACGCCCCTTAAAACTTGAAAACTTTACATTTACTTAAATTAGTTATGCTTTTTTTAAAAAAAGTCCATGAAACTACTTCACAAAAGTATGCGAATTTTTCCTGTATTTCATATTTGATCATATTATACGATACACACATTTTAGAATCGCATGGTTTTATGCTTAATATAGTTTTAAGGGGTTACTATCAACCGCATGGATATATTTTTGACCCATTTGGTCCACAATTTTGGGGGATTTGTACCCTCTTTTCATGTAATATCATTAAAATGGCGATTTTGGCTATATTTGTAATGTTTTCACCCTTTTTCCAGAGATAAAACCAAAATTTAATATTGGAATTAAATAGAAACCATAGGGTATCTAAAAATAATATTTTTTGTTATAAGGATCTGTACTTAAACGTTCCAAGATGTATTTTTGCTATCGTTTTGCAGTTTCTAATTGAATTATCTGGATCATAAGTCCCTTTTCGTACCTCTAGGGACGATATTTTCCGACAAAGTTGTCTAGTGTATATTCATGTACATATTGGCACTAATGTATTTTAAATTTTCAATATATTATAGCGGTATTAACAACCCCAAAACATGCCTTAACAAAACGTCATCCTATATAGTAGATTTCAGTTTTTACTACTCGTAACTTTCACGCTTATGTTGCCCGTTACAATAACACTGTAAGTCCTAAATTTTGGTTTTAATTTGATCATAGTAAATAATATTTAAACACATATCAACATTTTTGATGTGATCATAATGATATCGTGCCATGCAGCATGGAGGCCATTGGTATATAAAATAATGATTTTACTATTTTGAATGGTGTTTCTTCGAGGCATGTTTTGGAGTTGTACACTTCCACAACACATTGAAAACTTAAAATGTATAAAAGCTGATATCTAAAAGAATATATACCAGAAAACTTTCCCCGAAAATAGTTGATCCTAGTATTATAAAAATGGACTTAAGTTCCAATATATTGAATAGCGAAAGAAGAATGATCCGAATAATTTATCTTGGAACGTTTTAAATACAGATTCTTGTAACAAAAAGATATTATTTTTAGATACCCCAAGGGGTCTTTTGAGTCCCATATCAAATTTTTGTTTTATCTCTGGAAAAAAGGAGAAAAATTTACAATTATGGTCAAAAATCGCTATTTTAATGATATTACATGAAAAAGGGTACAAATTCCCCAAAATTGTGGACCAAATGGGCCAAAAATATATCCTTTCCGTGGATAGTAACCCCTTTAAAACAATATTACGCATAAAAACCATTCGATTCTAAAATTTGTGTTGCGTATAATATGATCAAATATGAAATACAGGAAAAATTCGTATACTTTTGTGAGGCAATTTCATGGACTTTTTTTAAAAAAGCACAATTAATTTAAGTCAATACAAATTTTTCAAGTTTTAAAAAGCGTGATATCAAACATAAGGACTATCTAGACAATATAACAAATTAATTTATTTATTTTGCACACAAAATATATTATTAAATTTGGTTTCTTTTTATAGTTTACCCAAATTCGAATAATTATGAGAGACACTGTATATATCCTGCTCAAAATTAATTTTAATTTACGACACAGGCTTTGAAAGTGATTGTATATAGTGAACATGTATATAACTCTCTCTTGATTGTTATTATTTTAATTTGCGTTTATTGATGACGTATTAAACTTAATCATATATTCAAAATATGATTGAGATTTTGTATTGACTGAATAAATTATTTGTCAGTTGCATTTAGGAACTACATTTTTAC